AGAGATGGCTTCATTGTGCAAAGCTTCCTATATGCTTTCCGATGTTAGGTTTGTGTTCTGACTTCAGGTCGGGTATATCTTTATTTAATGAGGAAAGACAACAAAATGACTTAAGCGTCAGTGTGTCTGAAAACGGGTAACTAACAATGAGAAAAAATATGCCCTGAATTAATCTGACTATATTGAAAATAGTTAAAAGCCTAGCAGAAGTTATTTAGTATGTCCTTAGCAATTTCTTTTGTCCAGTTTTTGGCATACAAAGTACACGGGCATGTCGTTAATTGTGCCTGTAGTGTAGCCCTTTTTTTTTTTTTTTAATGTAATGCTGCTGGCATCTCTGCAAAGTCAAGAACATGGATATAATTCTAAAATTGAACTTGCTGCTGTTGAAAGGTGGTTATTAGTCCTTCCTGTGGTGGTCTGTCTGCTAAACAAGTGTCATTTAAGCAGCAGAAGTTCCCATGGCCTTTGCTCTTGGATGTGTAGGACCTCAGTCCTACTCTGGTACAGAGTGGTGGGGCAGAGAGGGATTTTGTTCTAATTCTTCACTTGTTTTTCCACCAAACCTACTCAGTGGATATCTGCTCATTGGTGGGTGACTGATTGTTTTGATGCAAGTTCTTCACTAGAAGTTGCAGAGATATTCCCACGTTGTCTGCACACTCCTTTGTGGTGGGAAGACTGCCTTCTGCCAGTCGTAGCTTTCAGTCCTTGTCTCCACACAGTTCCTCAAGCTCTTAATCCAAACAAGGTGGGGGGTTTTTTTTTGGATGAGGGACTGGTCTAGAAGCAGTGGAGTGAGCACAGTCTGTCTCCCAGATTTTGTAAGCCACCCAAGTACCCTTTTAAATATAGTCATTAGTTACAGTTTGTATTTTGTAAATATTTTCTTTGCAGTGATTTATGGCGCTTAACCTCCTCATTATGATTCACAACATTTTGGACCGCCTGCTTCTTGGGGGAGAGGACAGGGGGTTGTTTTTTGCTTTTCTATAACTTGGACCTAGAAGCAAGTGGGAGATGGAAACAGAATGTGCTGGGTATTAATAGTCTCTGTGTTGTCCTGTCGCATTGGTGTTTGTCTGGCTCATCGGGGAGGTAGCCCTCTGTCTGTCCACACAGATGGAGATCTGCTTGGTGCTCAGGTGGCGCTGGAGCCCCTGCCTCCCTCCCACGGAGGAGAAATCTTCGCAATTGGTTGTTTACCAGGTCCTTTAGGACAAAAGAGTCTAGTCGAGAGGTGGGAAGATGGTTGTAGAGATGTCCCTGAACCTTTCAGAACACCCTCGTGTTGCCAGGTGTCCTTCTCCCCTTTTACGTGCGTATGTGCACACGTTTACATCCATGTTTCTCTTTGCAGCTGCCACCTCTTGCTCAGAGTTTCCTTACTGCTGCCGGGTGTAAGGGAGAAGCTGGCACGGGGGCACAGGCAGCAAGCAGTTAAAAGTGAAGCACATATTGCGTGTGTCCTGAGCTCTGATGCATTTCTCAGTGACCTTGAGCAGAGCTCAAAGCCTGCGTGTGCAGGCATGAATGACATTATCACCTGTGTAAGTATGTGTTACGCAGTCTATGCTGAGGTGGTGAGGTGGATCCGATACCGTTTCTAAACGCAGGATCCTTGCTGCAGCACGTTTCTGTGTTGCCTGATGACAGGCATTGAGACCTACAGAACATGAATTAGCTTCCTTCTGAGCTGAATTACTGTCTGTAGTGAAGGGAGAGGGACGGTTCTTTGCTGTGAAGTGTTGACGTGAGGCCAGAAGGAAGGAGCTGAAACTCAGTGTGGGGAAGGAGTCAGGGTGGGGAGTGGGCGCTTGGTGAAATGCAGGCTTTTATCATCTGACTTGGTCAGGGTAGTGCTGTTGCCAGTCTCCATTATGTGCTGCTTGAGAATAGGCTCCGGGCCCTTCCTTTCATCTCCTTCCTAATGAATTAAGAGGAGGAATAACTATAAAAGGGAAAAAAAAAAAAAAATCAAGATCTGAGACTACTTCTTTCATTTATGTTGTAGCTGAATGTGTGGCAGTAGACAAATGTATTGAGATAATGTTATAGTGGCTGAAAGTTCAAACCTTACCTTAGGGCCATGGGTGATAGAAATGAGGGAGCTGCAGCATCCAGAGAGAGAAGGTATTTAATGTTAAACTACTGCTGAAAAGTCAGGATATGTGAAAGCGTGAAAAGCATTTGGGGACTCTTGGTGTAGTCAAAAAGGTAAGAGTGGACTGAGATCCCGTTCCTTCTGTTGTTTCTCCTCTTTGAAGCCTTTGTCTTATTGTGCACATTGCACGTGCTGCAAAATGACTCCTGTGTGGCGGCAGCAGTCTGCCATATGCAGGAACAGCTGTGAGTGTTTTCGAGCAGGACACTGTACATGATACATCGCACCCTTGGTAAGAAAGGGGTTCTGCCCTCTGCCTGTGAACAAATGGATGGGAGAGGAGTGCAGACAACCTCCCGACTTCCTCCCCTGTGGAAGGGACAGATCCAGTCCTGTGCAACCTATATTTGAATTTAAAGACTAAAACATTGTTGTCATCACAGGTCAGAATCTGTGCCTTTCCTCATTCACACTGCAGAAGATGCACTAGTGTGTGTGTGTTTGAGGATGCACCTGCGTGCGTGGGTGTTTGCTCGCTTGCCGGTTCCACGCGAAGCCGTAGAAAGCATGGGATTTGGCAAATTGTAGTAGCAGGGCTCCAAAATGGCTTGTAGAGATTCCTTTTAGCAGGGGTGTTGATGATTTTTGGGGAGTTATTTTGGAGCACTCGCAGGCATTGTGTGCAGTGGTGATGGATGGGCTACCCTGAGTTTTGTCCTTCTTGGACAGATTTACCCTGAGGAGCAAAGGACTCTGATGGAGTCATAAAAATAAAACCACCAAATAGCATGGAGTGATTTAATCATAAGCCAGCTGCATCGATTCTTCCCCTAGGGTGCACTCTCTGTATGTTTGGAGATGGATTTTGTTACAGGGGTGAGCATAGGAGAAGAGGAGGAACTTGGGGAAGGGGGACGCATCTTTTTAGATATGATCAAATGGAATTTTCAGAGGTTGTTCTTGAAAATCTGATGTTTGGGCGGATGGATGGGTCTTGGCTAAATAAAAATGCTTTATTCTGCTAGGCTTCTCCTGAGACTTGTATGGCTCTGGGGAGTAGAGATACTTGCAGGGCAGTATCTCCGTTCTTTCTATCACAGCTTAATTTGTATTAACCAGATCAAATGTGTTTTGTGCTGCCTGTGCAGCTCTACTAAAATAAAATGGAAAGCTGCCACTGCTTTGCTCAGCATGACAAGACCCTAGTGCTTGCTGTTTGCTGCTCTTGTTAGTGCTTTATAACCGATATATAAGCTCAAGGTCGTGTCTGTAAGAGACATTTCTGGCCAGAAGAAGCTCTCCTCATATCTCCAGTTTAGTTCATCTGTGGAGAGATGTTTCTTTCCAAATATTCATGAAGTGTTGCATACTGAATGATGTGCAGAGAAATCTAGCAGATCCAGTCAGTGTCTGGGGAGTCAGTGTGGGCAACTGCCCCGAGATTTCTTTCCTCTTTAGTGCACAAATTGTGTATTTAAAACAGGAAAAAACCAAACCCAAACACAACAATAAAAACGCCCTACTCTTACATGTTTTAGTTTTAAGGCCTGCGTGTCTTCTTGAAGGTGCCTATAAAGGCTAACACTAGCAATTACACAGTCCTTGCCTTCTCGTAGAACTTCTTTTCACTTGATGGGTTAAGGAAGAAGTCAGGTTGGCGTCTAAAGAAATGAAATTACACTTAAAAGTGCATCACACACAGGTGGTCAAAGCATGACTCCTAGAAGGCTGAGGCAAATGGCAGGAGATGGAGTGAGTGTGGGTGGGTGCTTTTTGAATACCTTTGTCTGTCAATGCTTGCCGTGGAAAGGGACAGAGCAATAAAACTGCTCAAATTGTAGTCTACTTCCTTCTGTAGCTCTGAGTTTTTGAGGTCGTTTTTCTGACTAAAGTGTGAAAAATACCATTTTCTCATCAAGCCATTTTGAAAGGGACCTTGCCTTTATATTTAGTGCTGCACTCCAATTTTACTGTTTCATAGTCCAAGCCCAATGCAAGTGGCTGACGTTCTCTTCCTTTCCTCTCTCCTGCCCATCATCTCTGGAGGGGCATTAGGTCTCTCATCTGGCACGCTGGTCTCCCTTATTCTTCCGCCTTCTTGCTGTACTTTCTCTGTGCACAAGTACTTCTGGCCTATCCCTTGACCTGGCTTTGCTGTACCAGTCAGTGCTTGGGAACGCTGGAATAAATTCCCTTGTTTTAGCTGCGGAATTAGTAGCATAAAGTAGCACTTGGAGTTTTTATAAATCCTGCTGTGGTAATGACTGATTCCTGTCCCTGGGCTGACTTTTAAATGTATGAGAAAAGTTAATCAAAGACATCCGTAAGCTGTTCATATATGGATTTTACCATTTAATTATAGATCTTCTTTTGGGCTAATGTTTCTCTGAAGGGAGCTTGACAGAGCAGATGCCATTTTGCCTGGGGATGCATTTCTGGTATTGGCCCGGTGAAGAGCTGCCGCTTCAGCTGTGGGATTTTGATGATTGCATGAACATCCTGCCACATGAGATTAGAGTGGCGGTACTACCTCCCAGCTTCAGGATGTGAAAGATCCGCCTCTTCATTAGAGCTTTCATATGGTGGCAGCTGAAGGGAGGAAGAACAGGGGAAAAGAGAGAAGCAATTTAAGAAAACAAAAGGCAAATCTACTAAGCTAAAAGGTGATCCTGAGGGGAGGAAGGCTGAGATCTCATTACTGTTTTCTCCTGAAAGGGGAGGGGAAGGACAACAGATCGATTGTTAAGCATTACTGGCTTTATTAAAGTAATTTTCAAGTGCTCAGGTACTGCAATCGCAAGTGTAGTACCTAAAAAGAGATAGGCAAAACATTCCTATGTGAAAGGAATTTGTGTGGCTTCTATTCATGTGCACGCTTTTGTCTTTCTCTTTTCAGCAGACAGAAGGAGGGGCACAGACAGATGGACAACAATCACAGACACAGAGCAGTGAGAATACCGAGAGCAAATCCACTCCAAAACGACTTCATGTGTCTAACATTCCCTTCCGCTTTCGAGATCCTGACCTTCGGCAGATGTTTGGGGTAAGTTTCCAGCACCTTTTAAGGCATGGCAGATTGTCCTTCCCCACAGGTGGGACACATGGTGTTAGTATATTCATGTGGAGGAAAAGCCCTTTCCCCTCAATTTAGTCAGTATACTGTAAAATATTTGCAGGACTAGGACAATTGGTAGTGTTTACTTCAGCTGGTAAATACACGTGAAAACAACTGTATTCATATCAAGATGTTGAGTGTAACCTAACAATTGGTGGAAAAAAAAACCCCACCAAAACAAAACTTCACCTTATTTCCCAGTAAAGACCAGGATTAAACATTGACTTAATATATCCCTTGCAAAGCACTGTTTTTCCAGTTGCTTAGAAACTTGTTGAAATATTTATGTCTTTCCTCATGATCCACTTCTGTGATGAAAAATTGCTGCAAGGAGTTGGCGAGCTAGCTATTGCATGTGGAAAAGCTAGTGCAAGTCAGATGGTATTTTACATTGTGTATGATATACATTCTGTTTCTTTTGACCAAATAGTTTATCTTCCCTAGTCTTTGTATGCTATTCATCGTTCTTGATTTGTAAGCAATTTGAGGAAGAGTTTGTTCACGTGACTATAGGTGGTGACTCATTCCATGTGGACACAGAGAGAAATTGAGTTAGGTGCTTCATGACCTAACGTTCAGGTGAAGTTCTCTATATCATCATTATGGGAAATCCTTGACTTGTTGATATGATGATGACATCCTTGGTTGATGGCATGTTTTAAAGTCTTCAAATATATTTCTTATTATTTATAAAGGTAACAGACTCTAAATTTAGTTACTGCGTAAGATGCAGTGCAGAGGGCTCAAGTCAGGAAAGACCAAAGCTAAGGTTCCTCTTACCTCCTTAGGCTTTGAGTGTATGCCTTGGTCCTAAACATATAGCCAGCTGCTCCTCCAATATCTCGCAGTGTTCCTGTTTCACTTATTGCATCTCTTAAGCCGGCTGTGTGGGTGTGTATGCATACGCATACACACACACACTTTCGCATGGAGAGTAGCGTTACAGTATGTAAATGTGTCAAATTCATGGACTTCAAGCTTAGACTGCTTTAAATGAGAGAAGAATTGGGCTTATCTGTTCATAGCTTGGACAGTACAAAGGGAACAAAGTGTGCAGAAATCTTAAAAATTTCACTGATGGTCTTCAATGAAAGTCTCAATTGCTATATATTGTGAGAGTCTTTACACTTTGTTCTTGAAGCTTTTTGTGTCCATAAGAAGCTATTTTGTGGATGACACCAAATGGAGTGGAGTGGTCAAAATGCAGGTGGGCAAGGTTGCTATTCAGAGGGACCTGGCCAGGCTGGAGAAATGGGCTGACAGGAATCTGAAGACACCCACCAAGAGCGAGTTTCGAGCCTTCCATCTGGGATGGAATAACCCCTGCAGCAGTACAGGCTGGGGGCCGTTTGTTTAGGAAGATGCTCTGCAGTGCAAGATTTGGGGGTCCGGATGGACAACAAATCAAGCATAAGCAGCAGTGTGCCCTTGCAGCAAAAGCAGACGACCACGTCCGGGGCTGTGTTAGTGAGTATAGCAGCAGGCCCAGGGTGGTGATTCCCCCCACACCCCCATCCCCCCATCTTCAGCAGTTATTGGACTGCATCTGGAATACTGCGTCCAGTTTGGGCTCTCCAGGGAAAGAAGTGTGCTTCATCTAAGTGAAATACTGGAGCAAGCCCAGTGGGCACCACTAAAGATGGTCAGGGGGCTGAAGAACAGCATGTGAGCTGAGTCTTGAGACCTGGGCCTGTTCAGCTTTGAGAAGTCTGGGGGAGGGGGTATTTTTATTGTCTGCACTGATCAGATGATATGGAAAAGATGTAGCCAGATTCTTTTTGGTTGTGTGTAATGATGAGATGAGAGACAACAAACACAAGTTGGAACATTTCAATTAGATACCAGGAAATTTTTTATTTTTGCTGTGAGGGTGGTTAAATAATGGAACATGTTGTCCAGAGAGGTTGTGGAACCTCCATCCTTGAAGGTATTTGACTTGACTGGACACAGCCTGGCCAGCCAGATCTCATTAGACCTGCTTTGAGCCGGTTGCCCTAAATGACCTCTGGAGGTAGGGCCCAGCCAGAATCCTGATTCTGTGATTCTATTGCAAGAGGCCTGAGTTTGCTTCCATGTTGCTCATACATCAGATTGTCACACTCTTGACATCCGTGGGAACATTTTCAGGGTGAAACTCATCTCCTGGCAATCTGTGATCGCTGAATCTTCTCGGTCGCTTTTCTGCTTTTGTGGTTTTTAGCTTGCTTTTTTGCTTTTGCAGGGCTATGCAGTAGGCAGTTCCGTCCGGTTTGGATAAACCCTTTGCTGAAATCACAGCCAGTTCTTGGGCCACCTGCTACAATCTGTCTTTAGCACGTCCTGCACTGTGCTACTGCTGCTCCCCTCTCCTGGGAGCTGCATCGCTTACATAAATTGTTCCATGTTGTTGCCACCTCTTCCCTTGGGACCAGTGCTTGGCTTGATGACTGGCCCCTTTCACTCTTGTTCACCTTGATGCTGTTCCTCACTGTCTCCAGGTGTGGGGGACACGAATGAAATGGAAATGACAAGAACATCCCTGTCCTGGTGACTCTTACCTCTGCTTTGCAGACTGGGAGACCCAGGCAATTTGAATGAACTGCTGTCCTGAGAAGTGATTTGCAGGAAATGCAGCCTAACTGCTTGCATTAAGGTGTCCTGTCCTTTTTTTCAGCCAATGTGGTGCCATTTCTTGTACGTTGAAGGGGTGGGGAAACACGCTGTATGAGTTGGTTCATGGTGTCTCTCAAGTTATTTGTTGTTTATTTTTTCTCTAAATATCATCCCAAGTTCCAGCACAGTGATGTGATTTTATCTGGGGTAAATGGTATATTCCCTCTAAAACCTTTTGGTAGTTCACCTGGCCCCGTGTTTGCTGAGAGGTATGCCTACCAGAAGAGCATTCATCTTTTGGGGCACAAAAAAACATGTGCCATTTTCCTGTAATAGAGAACTTTGCTACTTTGCCAAGGAAATAATCAATGATTCTTGCACGTCTCCCTCTTTCTCTCAGTTCTGCTTCTCTCGGCATGCTCAGAGCCTCAAGCAGCAGAGCGTTTCTCTCTGAATTCTCCTTGCTCCTATTTCTTTTTCAGGGTCAGGATGCTTTCCCTTGGGTGACTCACTGAAAACCAACCTTTCTCCTATAGGGGACTCATGGTTGTCTGAGTCTTCAGCTGTGGCTAGCCTGTAACCCCCATCTTGTCCCTCTCCCTTCTGTGTGTCAGGTCACATCTCCTCAACGTCATATCTGAGAGACTCAAAATCCTTGCCTGGAGTGATTTTCCCAAGCTACTGTACAAAGAGAGGAATTGGGTAGACAGCAAAGCCGTGGAGGAAGAAATAAATGTGATGGGAGGGAGGGAGTAAAGAAGAACCCCGAGGGTGGAACAGCATGCAAGAGGTCAGCCCAGTCCTGGGGCGTAGAACATTAGCTAATGCTTTCGTCCAGACTTGGGTAGAGGTGGACTTAAGATGTGTGGTCCCATGTGTGATTAAATGGATATTACATAATGCTTTCTGAATCTTCACCATTTGTGAGAGCTGCAGACGTAAGGATTTCCTGACAAATTCAAGTTATTTGGGTTTCAAACCGTCTCTCACCTATTATGGGTTCCTAACAGGTCCCTGAGATATTCTCAGAAATGGAACAAACATTTCCTTATGTATATGCTTCTTATAGTGAGGCAAATGAAATAGGCTGCTTAAAACAGGTAATATTTACTTGACATTTCATGATGCCAATAAAAAGACTTCCAGAAAGCTTCTAGAAGGAATAGGTCATTTTTTAATGCACACAGTTCTGCACCCACTGTGGAATAAATCAATAGCTGACCTTGTTCTAGCAGATAAAGAAGAGTTAATAGCTGACCTGAAATCCCACGGTTGCCTAGGTACCAGTGATTGTTATTTGTCTGTATTTGCTTTGTGCAAACAGAATATGGCATCAGGCAGTAATGTAAGGAGCTTTAGAAGAGTCTGTTTCTTCGAGTTTAAACAATTGGCAGGATAACTGTCTGGGAAGGTATCTTTAAAAGGGGAGTGTTAATGGAAGCTATAAAGTATTCAACAAAATCATACCGATGGCCAAAAAGGCATGATTCCACAGTCACTGAAACTGTGTTAATAAAACACAAAGCATTCTGCATATTAGGCAGGTGGGATGAAGAGGAGGAGGAAGTAAGTGGCAGTGAAAATAATTGCAAGCTTAAACAAAGAAGCAGTTGAGAAAGGAAATGTGCTAATCATGGAGATATCAGTGATGTAAATTCAGAGGAGAAGGCATCAATTTTTTTGTACGCAAAGAAAAGATCTAGGTGTAGGTACAATATAAAATTAGGAAATAATTCTGTATTTGGGGGAAAAAACCCACAAAGAACAACAAAACAAACAAAAAACAAACTGAAAAAAAAAAAACACCAAAGAAATACCGGTTTGCTGTGTTTGATTTAAGAGGTGGTATTTGTACCATACCTGGCTTTGTATATAATTTATAAGAAAGCAGAAGAAGACAGTGCTCGCTAATACTTAAAAAAACAGCAGATCTAGATAAGGTATGTCCAAAAACAATAGCCAAAGCAAGGACCTCTTATTCATTAATGTTAATTTTTAGCCAGTTCTTGTAGGCTAGGGGAGTTGCAGAAGGCTGGAACGCCACCCAACAGGATTTGCCATTGCAAAAGTTGAAAGAGATGACCCAAAGAGCTGCAAACTTTCTATACGTATGTTGATCCAAGATAAAAATAACTTTGGAAAGTTTTAAAAAAAACATTAGAATCTGAAGAAATGGTTTAATATCTATTCAGTGTGACTTTAAGGTAATATACCTCTTTGCAGACAAATAGTGTCTTGTCTATTTTGACAAGATTGTACAAAGCAATACTGATATAGTTGAACATTGCTGAACCAATTGAATTCATCCAAGTGACCAACGTTGGGTTTTTGGGGTT